TTGAACTGGCATCCTCCAGTCTTTTCCTGGAGTAGAAGTGGTGTGTGTATTGGATTTCAGGTTTCTGCTTGGCTTAGTTCAAAAGAAACCACTCCAATATTCAAGGGAGATAGAGAACATTTTGGAGAATGGTAGAATATAATAAAGGATCCAGTGCAAAGGACTTCCTGCCTAATGGAAAGGCAGCTCTCACTAAGAACTGTGCTTCTGCCTAATAAAAGAAAGACCCAGCTGAGTGCTGCTCATCCCTTGAAACAGGTCTCTGAATGTTGCCCCCTGACTACACAGGTCACATCACCCTGCATGGTAGCCCTCACATTCACACTCTGGTGCAAACTTGCCCTGCTTTCACTGTAGCAGTTCTCAAGGTGGGAGAGGTGGTGTCCCCTGTTCCTGATGTCCCCCTTTTATCATACAGAGAGCTGTGCTTTCTTCTTTTCCCTCATCTGAAGCAGCTCAGGACCAAGCAGGAAACAAAGGCTCATCTCAGTTCTTTGCAGAAAGCCTGTCATCTTGGACAACGCTCAGAACAACAGGTAAGATGCTTTTCTTCCCAACACTTCATACCCTACTCCTGCGACACTGGGGGCTGACAAATTAGCAATGGTTACAACGTGGAAGGCAGAGCCACAGGCAGGGGCTGAGGTAGTATAGGTCACGGGTATTCACAGGATTTTGCAGCCTAAATTGCAAGACTTGAAAGATGAGAGAGGTGTGGGCTGAGAGATGCATGGCTTGTGTGACCAGGAGAGGGTCACGGTGAGAGAATTGAAGGGAAAAATCCAGCAAAGGCAGCCACTGAACAGAAGCAGGGAGGAAACCTGAGATCTTGTTCAGAAAAGGGACAACTCAGCCCACTGGAGTTTTTGAAGTGGGGATGTTCCTCAGTGCCTTGCGACTGTAGTGGTGACGATAAACCCCTGGTAGCATGCTTCCTCATGCAGGCCACTTTATTACCACAAACAGGACCAACTGCCCTCTTATTATCCCCATAGTGCAGTTGGACAAACTGAAAAGGCCACCCATCTCAAACCTGGACAGAAAAAACAGGTGCAGAGCCAGTATTCACTGCTCCCTGCTGGTCTCACAGCAAGGATCAGATATTTTTCCTCCTCTGCCTCTCTTTGTACTTCCCAGAAAGCATCAGAGGTGCTTTATCTGCATGGGGTGAGACCCCCGTCATAGAGTTTCCCAGCCGCAAAAGCTCCCAGCATCACTAGTTCTACTGCCTGACAGTGCTGAGCTCCTGCTAGATGATCGCAGGCCCTTTGAGGAGAGACTGAAATGAAAGGGCTGCTGATATTAAGGGGGAAACACATCACTGGGAAATGCAGTGATGAGAGGTGCCAGACAGGGAGTTGGAATGGTGAAGTTCCTGCAGAGTGAGGATGGAGGGGCATGGAGGACGGGGTGCTTGCTGGTGCAGCCAGGGGCAGAGTGGGCTGGCAACTCCTTTACAGTGCAGGGAGGAGGGGAAGACATTTCTGCACTTACTCCAGGACGTCCCTGTTGAACTGCTTCTTGCTGTTGCCCAGGAACTCCCCAATCATCTGGCGGCTGAGGCCCTTCCGCTGGAGCAGGAAGTGTGCCACCCCGATGGGGGTGTCCGGGATGAAGCCTCGGGAGATCAGGAACTGGATCCCTTTGTCTGGGTTTCTGAAATGGAAGACAGAGATATGGTGAGTTTACATGATCTCTTTGAGGCATTATTGCTGCTGGCTTACCTCACGGCTTGCAGCAATGCAGCCCTCTGTATGTGCATGGGCTCCTAAGAGTTCATGTGTGTGGCAGGGATGGGACTGGTGGGGGCAGGGAAAAGTTACTTGGGGGAGTCCCCCTCAGTTGCTGCTGAGGACAAAAGGATGCCACGGGACCTGCTGTGTTACTTGCAGCACTTGCTGTCACCTGGGGATCACAAGTGCTATCCCACTGCCACAAAGGATCCTGCTGCATGATACCAGCCTCATCAGTGACCCTCTTCTGCCATCCATCTGCTCCAGAGTCAAAGACTCTTGTATCCTCCCTGCCCAGCTTGGTTTGTTTAGGGTCCCCTGTGAGGACACGATTAGACTGCGTGTCCCACACAGCACAGGAAATATCAGCTGCTCCAAATGCAACCCACAGAGAGCTGTGCCCAAGGACCAGTGGTGAAAGCTGGGCACATGACCCTTTGCTTTAGGGGAGCTGGAGTTGCACCTTCTGCAGGGCAGACAAAGGCAAAGGGAAAAACGTGGCTGTGAAGAGACTTAGGAGACATTGCTGCCACAGTCTGTGGGCAAATGAGGCTCAAGACACAAAGGGGGATAACCAAAGGTGGGCACTTTTTCTGTAAAAAAAAAAGTTTCTCTTTTTCATACATTTTTAGTGCTCAGTGTTGAGTGACACTTTCTACCTTCCTCACCTGAGCCTGGTGCTGGCTGCCTCAACAGAAATCCCATGCTTAGATTTGCTTATCTCTTCCTCCGCTTCCCCCACCCTTAGTTGTGTTGTTCTTCCCTTCTCTATTGATTTACCCCCTCAGGCAGAAATCTCTGTGTGTGGGTGGATGAGAGCACGCACCTGGAGAATGCCTTGTCAGAGCTGGGAGAGAGCTGCGTGCAGCTCCCAGACAGAGGGTTTTTCTCTGTGCCTGTGAATGCCTCTATGAGAACAAGCCTGGTGCTGAGTGGGCCTGACTGCCTGGTTGTGGGAGTGATTTTCTGCTTGTTAGTGTGCCAGTGTTTGCGCCCGCATACACAGCTCTTGGGGGGTAGCGCAACAAGCACACGCTTGTGTGTGTCTGTGTCCTGTACAGGCAGGTTTCTCTTGCACCACACGTGTCCAACAGAGCCCATGGGTCTGTACATTTTTGCTTTCTCCTCATGTCTCCTATAAGCCCACATGCTTCTATGTATCCTGGGAGTGGCTGTGAGCCTATGTGGTGCCTGTCCCACAGTACAGACAGGAACGAGTGTGTATGTGTGTATTGTGCAGGAGGTTTTCTTCCTATATTTCAGTCTGCCCCACTGAAGGGTGTCTGTCATGATGCACTCTTGCTGGGGGGAATTAGTGCAATGCCAGGAAGATTTCCACATTCCTTTGGTTCTCTGAGCTGGTGAGTGGGGAGAGGTAAGAGGGTAGTTTCTTTATGAAAGGATGCCATACTTCCATCATTGACCCAAATTCAGGGATCTTCGTCAAGGCTCAAGGAGTGAGTTTGCTCAGGCAGTTTCCTGGGGTGAGGAAAGGATAGGATGAGATCTCAGAACACGTGAATGCATGATACGCGCAGGCACAGACTGTGACACTGTCAGGTGGTGAAGGATGTGGGTGAGCAGCATATGTCTAGCTATAAGGAAATCAGCATTCAGGAGAATGGCCTGCTCCTTACTGGGGCCTCATGGGTATACAGAAAGTAGATGGGCTTGAAATAGTTCTGCTTACTCTGTAACATCACAAAGAAAATATCCTGGGCAGTGTGGCATCCCCGAGGAGAGTGGCTGGGAGAACAAGTCAGGCCATTAAATTTATGAACAGGAGAGCTGCAAGATCTGATATTGAAAAACCCAGGCCTTCTTCAGGGAAAAGCAACAGTGCACCTTCTGTGTTATCACACAGATCTGGTTCACCTTTAAAAAGCACAGACAAAGTTCTCTGCTAAGTGCAAAGGTCATAGAGTCAGGCCTAAAGTCAAGCTAAGCAACAGAGATTCATGAAAAGTACCTCCACCTGGACACTTTGGTATTTGGCAAGGGACCATACGGTGTTCACAGCATGAGGATGATCTCAGCCACACTGATGTGACTCCCAAAGCCACTGGACTGGCTTTGGATTCATTCCAGAGGAGCTGGGAGCTGAACGTGGCCAGAAAAATGCAGCTTACACACTGGCATGGATGTACAGATTTCAGTAGAGATGGCACACGCAATGCAAGAGGAGGTAGGATAACACAGTCCAGCTGTGACAGTCCTCCTGCACAGCCTAGACTATAACTTAAATATACATGCACACACTATTCTTGCACTAACAGCAGCCTTCTATCAGTTTTTCCCTGGATTCAATTTGTTCTCCACAAAATCCTGACAGTAATACGGCATCTCTGCCACTGAACACCTGCAGATCTATCCCATGTACTGCAGCATGCGGCTCTTACCCAGATGTGCAGCAGACAACTCCCCTTCCATCTCCCCTGAGTCTGATCCCTGCTTTTTCTTTAGTGCTGCAGGGGTGTTAAGCAGGGCCAGCAAATGCTGCGGGATTCCTCACGTCCTGCTGGCTTTCCCTCTGCCCACGCAGCCAGCTGCCCACACACACTGAGTTATTACAGCAGTGCTGCATAATGAAGCACTCTCCGTTCCAGGGATTCCACCCCCTCACTGTGGAGTGGGGATGGGGAAAGTGCCACAGCAGCGCAGCATCAATGTGTTCCCAGGGGCCTGCTCCAAGCCAGAGCGCTGCCTGCTGAAAAAGCAACTCAAGGCCAGATAGACTATGGCAGATGGTGCTAGCAACTGGAGGCTTTCAGCTCTTGGTCCAGGGGAGCAGTCAGCAAAAAAGATGTGCATGCAGGCACGCACAGCCTCAGCTCCGTGCCCTGTGGATTGGTGCCCACATTGCAAACCCTACAATGGTAAACTGCCTCCTTGCTAGAAATTGGCAGGGAAACCAACAACCAAATAACTGCAGAAAGCTGAATGGCCTTCCCAGCCCCTTGGATTGAGGTACACTACAGCATCATGAGGGGAGCCATGAGCCATGAGTCCCTTAGATCCCACTCAGAGAATAAAAAAAAGTCTTCACTCCCCAGAGCTAACAGGTCAGTTCCCTCCCTCCCTGTCCTGCAACATTTTGTCAAGAAAACTGAGCCTTACAGATTACCACACATTATTTCAGCAGCTAGTTTCAAGGGAGCAGGGGAGGCCTGTCTAGGACATTGTGTTTCAGAGCTCCGAAGCAAGTCTTCTGTCCCACAGGGACCTGCAAGACACAGTGAACCCAGGTCACTGAATGAAGGAGGATGGCAGAGCTGCTTCCCCAAAACAGACCTGGTGCTGCTGATCTGTCACATGAATGTGTGCCAGGCAGATTGGGGGAGAAAGAGAGGCTAGGACAAAGCATTTTCACTCCTGCTTTATCTTCACATCAGTGCTCACATCAACTGTGCAGGAACCAAAGAAAAACACATCGGGTGGAGGGACTCCTGCCAAGCACAGCTGAGAATACTGGAACACTTGGTGGCAGAGATGTGAGCCCCACGCCCCACTCCAGAAGTATACCTATCCCAACACAAACATCAGAACATCTATGTGGACCTGGAACTATCTCTAATAGTCAACCCACCTCTGTGTCTGGTGCCTGTCTTCTCTTGTTCCAGCCTGCTTGTGTTCATCAGGCAAATCTGTGTGCGCCCAGAGCCTGACTTTGATATATACACATGGACCCACCTGTTCACAACCTAATCTCAGAGCTAGTAAAATGTCCTCCTTAGATCTGCAAGAGTCCCAAATCTGTCTGTTCTAACATCACTTCAGTTCTGGATGTGCTCTGAGCCCAGCCCTAAAAACCTCTCTTCCACATTCCTGCCTTCTGGAGTCCACAGCCTCCATACTACACATATATAAATCCTGTGCATTGCCCCCTTGTCTGTGCAAAACTTCTGCTAGGACTGCATAATCTTTAGTCCTTGCTCTGAACAAAAGGCCCACACTAATGTGTGGCAAAACATTCTTCTAGTAGAGGTGCTTTAAATCCCCAGCATCTTCATCAGGGGACTCAAATGGAAACCAAGACAGCATAAGATGAGAGTGTGATGATGGAGCAGACCCCAGTATTTCTCATGGCATGCTTTGATGAGAAAAGTCTCATCGAAACGCAACGAGCAAATCTAAAGCTCCTTATAGGAGCTCAGCTGCTTTCTGCCAATCCAAAATAGACTATGTGTGACCCCTCAAGTTAACCTCTTCTGACGGTAATCTCTGGGCTGCTCTGCTTTTGCTTTCACACCTACAGCCTTTTCATAGGATATCAGACTCAGATGTGTGAGAGACTGAGATGACTAAACCTGGTCTGTCAGGTGAAAATCCACCCAAATACTAGAAGGAAAATGACAGCCAGAGCACTCATACTGGGCTAGCTAAGCTCAGCTCTACCTCTCTCTCTCTCGACTTGGAAATGTCCCAGGTTAAGTAACCAGGGCTGGGTTTACATGCCCAGCTACATATGTTCCTTTGCAACAGAGTGGAGCAGGAGCCTAGATCCCAGGCTCGGCTGGTGGATGCCAAATGGACAGCAAGTGGGACTGAAGATTCAGAATTCAGGAGAGCATGGGCACTACTCATGAGGCACCGGGCTTGTTCCTCTGTTAGGCAGAAGATCAAGACAGCACTTGGGGGACTTCAGGGAAAAAGCTTATGGGCAGCCAACCTGTGGTCTGCATTGCATACCCAGAGGGTCATGCCCTTGAATACGAAAGAACTTCCCCAGAGATGGATCTACACCAAGACCCTACCATCTCCTGTTCCTGTGAGGCATGAAATAGGCTGGGAAACATGAAAGAGGAAGAGTCACTTACATATTGAAGAGGTTCAGCCCAATGCGGTAGAGGCGCTTCCTCATGGTATCCGTGGAAAGTGTGGGGGACTTGCAGCTAGCTGGGTTCTCGCAGTGGTACCTTGGGAGGCTGAGGATCATGGCCTGCAGTGCTTCTTTTGATGACACCTCAGAGGCTGACTTGGCTGAAGTGGAGGTGCTGCTGCTGCTCAGCTGCTCCGAGTTGTCTGCATTCTCAGACTCAGAGCCTTTGCTTTGCCCTGTCTCATTGCTAGCATCAAACTGGAGCTTCTGCACTGCCATCTGCCCAGGCTCAGCACTGCTGTTTCCCGTGCCGTTAGTACTGACATTCACCTCGGTGAAAGTGTGGCTGTTTTGGAGAGCTCCGGACTCAGGTAAGCTCTCTGGGGCAGCCGGTGGTTCACTGGCTTCTCCTTCCCCTTCTCCTGGGCTTTCTTCAGCCTTGGTAGCTTGAGAGAGCCCAGCCTGGGCATTGCTGCTGAGGCAGTTTGCCATGGACACCGAGGTAGACGAAGAGACAGAGATGTTCTTGTTGTCGATCTGGACTGTGACATCTCGAAAAGCCATCATGAGAGTGCTGCTGCTCTTAGGTAGGGTATCTGGCAGGAGCCCTTCCTCCTTCTCTGTGTCCTGCAGCTCAGTCTCTAAGTCTTGGTTTGGCTGCATTGAGCTGGCACTGAAGGTCTCCCTTATCTGGTATGAACCCCCATCTTGCAGTGAGCACATGGTCTTCAGGCTCCAAGTGCTGAGGGCATCATCAATAGACTTGGCCAGAGACTGAACTTGTTCTGTGAAGGAGTCCTCTAGCTCAGTCAGTGCCCCACTGATGGTGGCTGGCAAAGATGGGGACCTCACCAATGGGATGCCCACAAAGTTGTACCCCTCCACCAGGGCTTTCTCAGCAGAGAAGCTCTCTGAGTTCTGGACCCGGACTTTCCTCAGAGAGATGCGGCGTGGCATGCGGCTCTCCAGCAATGAGTTGCGGATCTTCTCAAAGTTCTTGCTGAGCTGGTACTGCCGGAAAGCAGTCTGGATGGTGCAGGCTGCCCTGCGAGATACCAGGTGACCTCCATATTTGTGCTCTAGCATTTCGATCTGAAAGACATACAACCAGGAGAGGTTATTTTTTGTTAATTGACTTCTGATGGCTTTCTGTGACCCCAGTTCCTACACTGATTAGTCTGTAATGACTGTCAGAGGAACTTCTAACACTGAATTAGCTTTTTCCTGCACTGCTTTGCCCTTGATTTCAATGGAAGGCCCCCCTTTGGTGGGGGTTGTAACATGATCATGCCTCTTTCTAGGGTGCCAGCCATACAAGCTGGAGCCTGGAGGTGCCCTCCCCTTGCAGACCCACTTCTGATGGCCTTTAGGGCAAGCTTATGATTGCAAATAGTGTTCCAGCAATGTGTCTTCCTGCTCAGCAGTGCTCTGGTAATGTCAAGCATCATCCCTTGTCTCAGAGTGTTACTAATGCTCCTCCCCTCCATAGTCACTTTAGGAAATACTCTCAGGGAAAGGAGAAATTATTCAGGAAAAGGAAAGAAAAGCTAATTTTTAAATGCAGAAAATGCTGGCTTGATCATAGGAGCTAGTGAGAAACATCAGCTTTCATAGAAGTTAGTGGAGGCTGGGTTTATTCAGTGTCTTTTAAAAATCACTCTGAATCCCAAAGTGTGTTCCTTTCTGATATCTGAGTTTTTCAGGTGTCAGCCAGCAGTGAAATGAAAAGTACCCAAGAAAAGAAAGACTCTCAGTTTTGAAAGGTAAAAAAATCTGATTTTAAACGTTGAGACAAGATATTAAGAACAAGTAGCAGGAGGATTTACTGCTTCCTGAGCTGGTAACGACAAAACACATGTAAATACGTACACACACAGCTAAGTGGCATCTCAACAGGCTTCAACAAAGCAAGTACATATAGTAATTTCTCTTCTGTAGTCTAGCATTTATACTTCCTGGTAATCCCCTCACTCTTCCTCTGCAGCTGGGCCTTCGCTAACATGCTACAGGAGAATGTTAGATGACTTGGTTCCAGTGAGCAACTGATGGAGGACAAGGGGGACAGTGTGAAGATGACAGTGGATGATGGGATTGAAGAAAAAAGAAGGATGAACTAGAATGACCTTCACTGAGGTTTTGGCTGAACTATGAGCTAAACTCTATGTTGTCAGCACTTCACAGGGCAGAGCGCAGGTGTGGACTGTAGTGTTTATATGTGTGTGCACATGTGGAAAAGCCAAAAAAAGGTGAAGTGCAGGACTGGGTGTGCTGGTAAAATCAGTCCTGAATTAACAGAGGACTCACTACATCATTCATGCTCATTAGCAGATCCAAAGGATGACTTTTACTGACTGCATCCTTATCCCCAGACAGGTACCACTTGCCCTTCACCATGCCTTGCTGGCCCAGTACTCACAGGATGAAGGACTGAGGTCACAGAAGATCCGAGTTTAAGTACAAACTGGTTTTGTAGTCAAAGAGAGACTGAAGCATGAGCCTCAGCTCACAGAGTCATGTCATGTCATCTGCTTCCTTCTTCTTTTCCTTTTTTGTAACACTATGTAATTTGCAGATAAAACCATCAGTGAGTGATCTAGGTACAAGTGAAGGCCTGGAATGAAGCTGTGGGAAGTGTAAATCACCTCTGGCATCTTTCCAATACTAACTCCTCTGGAAGTAGGGGAAGGTGATATCACCTTGGAAGATGACAGGAAGAGAGGAACAACATGACCCCAGCCATTCTGTCCCTGCACTGGTATCCTGGCTGCTGGAGTAAGTACTGAAGGCCTTGCCCACTGGCACCCCATCACCCCAAGCAGCAACAGGTCTAGGGATCCTGCTGCACTGGATGAGAGGCTGCCATTTCTGGAAAGGAGCTGGGGGAACACACACCCTGTCATATTTCCCTCGCTGGAAATGAAGCAGTGACCCTTTGCCTTGTGCTCAAACATAAGGTAGGCTTCTGTATTCTATTTGCCTTGCCCTTGAATTCACATCTGTCCAAAGCAAGCATCAAAGCTCAGCACTGAGGAATACTAGCAATCTGTTTAGCAATGGGGTTGGCCACTGCAGCTGTAGAGGCAGCTGGCTCAGAGTTCTGCTCACCCCTAATTTAAAAAACATTGGCCTAACACTTGCCCTGCTGCTCTCCCAGAAAGGCTCTGCAGAACTGGTGCTAAAAATCACTCACACAATGATCATGGATTCAGGATCATTTACCACAAGTAAAGTCAGTTGGCTTTTTGCATAAATAAGGTCTCTACTTATCCCCAGAGTTTGATGTGGCAGGAAAGAGGAATACAGGGACAAGAAGAGATTCTGGGTAGCAAGCAGAAGGGTCTTGCTGGGGTTCTGTGTCCTTCTTTCCAAAATGACCATCTTAAATCCCACCATAAAACCAGCACTCCTGCCACATCTCTTCAAAGTTGGCCACCCTGGAAAGAGACTGAGTTATCTTTGGCCCTTCCCTTCTGGAGGAAGGCTCATGCAGATAAATGCAAATTAAACCAATAACCTGCACAGGCCCAACCCAGACAGTATCACTGACAACTGACCATGAGCACTTAATGTAACAGTCTGGTTAATCAAAATGTAGAGCTAATTGTGTTGGGAGGGAAATAGGAACAAATGGGAGGGACAGACACAGCTATCTGAGGGACAGAATAATAGTAAGATGCAAAATAAAGCAGAAGCAAGAGCCTTATAATTATCTGAGGTTTCCAAGGAGGTGACAGCCATTCTAAAAACATGAAATTCATATGCTCTGATCTTATTAAAGGCCAAGACAAGATGTCATTGCTGGTCTGAAGTAAAAGGCCAGTTTATCTCATGCAAGACAGTTCCCAAAAAGGCAGACTTTAATACCTACTAAGAGGAAAGATCCTTCTAAAAGTCTAAATGAACGGTGCAAGCTGTCAGTACCTTGATAAAACATCACCGGCTTTTTGCAGTCCATTATCTCAGTCCTCCCAAAGGGCTAAGGCATTAAGGAGCAGAACAAGATGTAAAGTGAGAGGAGTCCCAACCTAGTCTGTCCTCCAGTTCATACCAGGTGTGCAAGGATGGGTTCTGCATGTGGTCCACTGCCCTACAGCCCTGTCCAAAGCAAGGGGAGTCCCACAGTGTCTTGCAGCTGGGATAACAAAGACTGGTCCAAAGGATGCTTGAGAAGGAAGACTGGCAAAGCCAGAAGCAGCACCCCCATAGAGAACTGCCCTCCCCACGCTTGCTTGGTGGGAGTGGGTCTCTGTCTCTCTCTCCTTGATGTAGCCCAGCCATTTACTGTTTATTGATGTCTGAGACATTCACATTTGCTATCAGGTCGAGCTAACTGACACTCCAGAGGAAATAAGGATTTCACACAGCTGTTGGCCTGTTTTCTTCCTCTCGAGAGGAGGAAAGGGCATCCATTAGCACCACAGCAGTCACAGGTAATGGAGATGTATGTCTGGCTTGCTGGAGGAACCTTCTCTTCCCATTTGAGAGGCGAGAGAGGCCAGACATGATTGGCCTTCTCTCACTCCTAATAAACCCTATGAATCACAAGTAATTGCCTACTTAAAGCTACTCTTCTCTGGGGAATGATCCGACAGCCGGCGCCAAAGGAAGGGAAAAGCAGGAGGGGCGCCGGGGGGATTTCAAAGAATAATTAGCTTAATACATTTCTGGGCCTCAATATGAACACTCAGTCTGAGCAATTCAGGCCTTGTGGCTGAATTAGAAATGACTGGGAAATATCCATTGCCGTGAGGGATTGCACATGAAGGGAGCTTTAACAAGGTCAGCCTAAGGCAAGACAAAGTGCCAGGCCTGGATATGGCCAGACATTTGAGGTGCACACCCCATAGCTTTTCTGCCCATAGGCATAAATTCATAAATCTGCCAGGAGAGAATGGGCCTGATCTTATTCTCCGTTAGCAATGATTTTCCACCCAGGTTGCCACTGAGCATGGCGACATGCCACCATATTATCAAGAACAGAGTCAGGCTTAGTGACAGAATCTGAGTCACTCAAGTCAATGCATGCGTTGTAAAAAATAAAAAAATAAAAAAAGACATACATGTTCTCTATCACCCATTCTTAACACCTCTCCCTCTCACCAACCTTTCACAATGGAAGGACATCACTATAAAGGCCATGTGTTAATGGGACATTTTCTTTCACACATGGGACATTTGCCACCCTTCACCACAGCAGAAGAGTTCATATGACAGAAAGCATGCTCCTCTCTCCTGCGATCCCCTCCATTTTCCCAACATTACAATAGGGCCTAAACATAGGGGAACTTTAGCATTTGAGTTTCCTTTCCAACCTCCCAGCATAGTGTACATGTGCTCTGTACACTGTCAGCATGCTCTGTTTCATGGGACAGAGAGAAAGGAGAGCCATGACCGCATTCACCAACACTCTAGTATGATGCTGAGGGGCAATGACTGGTAGATGCCCTGCACGACCAAGCCCTGCAGAAGAAGCTGTACACTACCCTCCTTCCTTACCAGCACTCAGTACTCTCCTGAAAGCTAAATGTGACTTCAACTGCACTGTGAGACTAAAAATGCCTCCTTCCACCGGTTTTTCTTACTCTATTAACGTGTTACGATTTGTGCTATGTCTAGGGAACTCCTGGGACAGTGCTGTGAGGGTCCTGTCACCCTTATTCCCATTCAAGAGAACTACCTGACAAGTAAGTTGGTAGGAATACCTATGAAAACATATACTAGAGTGCAAGGCTGGAAGAACTAATATGCTTCACTCCCTGAAAATCTCCCCTTCCAGAGCTGGAGGCAATCCACTGAGGACATCCATCAGGCTGGAGGAGCACACTACTGTAAGCCCCCTTTGCTGTAAGAAAAGCGGTTTCGCCTATGAGATAGGCTAGGTCCCTGCAAGGTCAGTACTGTGAGGCATCAGAATTTAATGAATGAGCAGCTAACATGTCTCTCTCTCACATGCATCCAGGGCAGGTCTGGCCTCTGCTGCAAGAACAGTGATAAGACAACATGACCTTAAAGCTACAATAACGCAAGACAGACACTCCCCAGGACAAATCAGAGCAGCTCTAGGACATCGAGAAGGCTAAGCCCATATATAGCAGCCAAGATCTGGCCCACCCTGAGGATATGTCACATTAGTTTGTGAAGCCAGTTAATTAGTTTCTCTTGTTTCTTTTCCTGGTGTGAAGCAAGAATTCTGTCTGAGTTGAGTATGCAGTATTTTGAGAAAGACAGAGCTAAAGAGCCAAGGTCTCTTTTTCTGTACAGGAATTTATTGTGCCATTGATCTGACATGTATGTTTAGGGACAGCAGCAATGCCTTGAGGGAAGTGGCAGAGAGATGTCCCAGAAGCAGCAGCTTCTTCTGTGGGAACCTCCTTAGCTGAGACCCTTCATCTGCAATAGCACAGCTCCCACTGAATTCTCCGATTGAACATAATCTGGACACTGTCACTAGCACTTGCTTGTCCTTCTCATCTCACACACTGCAAGGTCTGCATACCAAACAGCCTCTGGTTGAGCTGCCATCCCAGGAAAAAGTCAGAAACAATTGTCTAGGTTTTGTTTTGCACAGCAGCTCTCCTGGGCTGTAATCTGCAGACATGCGGGGGGGGTAGGCATGTTCCACCTCATTGCCTTGGAGTGAGGAGGCCAGCTGCTATTAGCCCCTGTCCCGCTATCCCCTGCTGGGAGCCCACCAGGAGATGCAGCTAGAGATGGGTAGACTTGTGCTCTGGAGCTAGGCTGTAGCCTTGGGCACAGGAAGCAAGGCTTGCAACTTCAAGAACTGAATCATTTTCTCTCAGCCTGGTAAACCTGCCTGTCTCTTCAGCATCCATCACTGGCTTGAAGGCAGTGATGGTAGGAATACACAAACATCATGGTAGACACTGTGCAGGACGCTCATTGAAAAAACCCCACTTCCCCTGAAAGCTCATGATTTGAAGAGGCTAATACGGAATTGCACTGGGGGCCTGCCCAGCGTGATCCAAGAGGGCAAGATGGCTCTTGGAGACCTCTCCCATGAGGGAGGTGTTTTAGGACAGTCAGTTCCTGGGCCCTAGAGGCACTGTACGCTTGTGAGCAAGGCGGTATCTCTGGATGCTGCAGCTCTGGGCTGCTCACAACCCATCTCTAAGCCTAATGTCACAACTGAGTATCTGGGTCCATTTTGGACCACAGAACCCAAGCAACGAGGAACGAAGCCCAGCTGGTTTGAGTGAAAGGGTGTAGCAGTCAGAGGTGGGGAAGCTACTTCCTCCATCAGCCCCACATAGCCAAAGGGCCAGGCCTGTTCCGGCAGGGCAAAAGCTCAAGGTGAACAAAAGGCTAAAGTATTTGCTGAAAGATGTCCCACCACAGTGCGAATGCAGTCCCACCCACCCCATCCCCTTCTCCCACAGCCTGAGGAGGAAGCCTCTGTACCTGTTTATTCTTTAGGTCAAGGGAGAGCTCATAATCGGAGGCAGCTGCATGGGAACACGAGGCCGTCCCTTTGCTGCGCTGCACTCTCACTGGGGAGCCCGTGTGGTGGAGGCTCGCCTTCTGCACCAGAGGGGAACACCCCGCTGCCTGCTCTTCTTGGAGCTCCGCATGCTGGGCTTTTAGCGTCAGGGTGTCGGACCTGCCTTCCTGGCCACTCTGTCTGCCGGCCTCCTTCGGATCCTCCGTTTCACACCCGGCTTTCTTGCTTGTGGAACCGCTGGGATCGTCACTGTGAACAAAACGCAACGTTTCGCTTTTTTTATTTGTTTTTATTATATTTTATTTATGATTATGCTTATTGTTGTTCACTATACTCATTCACTGAGCTGCATTTTAAATGTTAAGGGAGCCTGGGCTTTGAGGGGTCTCTCTCAGTGATGGATCAGGACTTTACGCTGATGAAGCCAAAGCTCTGATCCCTCCCTCCCTAAGAGCAGGCACCTGTGCTGCACACACTGTATGAACCAGTCCTGTGACTCCTGGAGCTGCCCAGCGGCCTCTGCTTGAGATGCTGCAGTTGGGGGTGAGGGGCCAAGGAGAGTGTCATGGCCTACGGACACCTCTCCTGCTCCCTGGTGCAGCTAGCAGCTGGCAGTCACCCCTCTGCCCTTGCTGCCTATTGCTCAGCATCTCCCTGTGCATCCCAGAGTCCCATCTGGCATGGAGCCTGGATCCCAAGGATCTGCTTTTCCTCTGGAGTTTCTAAGGGCATGTGGGAATTGGTGCAGGGACAGCTGAATGTTGCAGAGTTTCCAGAGGAACTCTTGGAGAGCTGAGAGTATAAAGATGCAACAGAGCCAGTCAGCCCTGAGATCCTGACTCTTTAAAGCATGTCTGCAATACAGCCATAGCAGACTGAAGAGCTTCCAAGAAAGAAGCAGTTTCTTTCTGACCTCCAGGACAGATTGCTGTGCCGCTGAGATCTTGTGGAGAAAGGAAAACACCCTTTTCTCCTGTCAGCCACACCAGTAATTGTGTGAAACCAGGGCCTGACAACAGCGCGGACTAAGAGAGCTGACATGTTGCTCCAGACAGGATGGGATTAGCGTTGTCTGATCCACTGAAGTGCTGAGGAAGTCTGTCATTAACATCTCTTCCTGAATATTTTCAAAAATTATGCAATTTCAAACAAGATTTTGGTATTCCAGGGGACTGTTTGAACCATAGGAGTGTTTATTTGTTGTTACATTAGTCTCTTTCCAGTGGCTACAGAGCAATAATTTATGATTTCAAAGAGTGTGCAGGCCAGTCCGCATGGACTGTGTGTTCTGCTGCACCATGTACATCTGATACAGCTCCACTGCTTTCCAGGGGATGAGTATTTAGCTGAGAGCAACATCTAGTTTGGGAATAATTACTACAGAAGCAATGCATTTAATTCCATTGAAACTAAGGATATGTATTGCCTCCCATATTTAAACACCATTAAATTATTTAATTCACTTCTGAATCATATTTCTTTCTCTTGGATTTGCTCCACATACAACCAGTTCTGCTGTCATCTAGATAACAAATCATTTTATGATTGGTGTTGATGTCAGAGCAAAATCAGGGAAATTAGATATGATTTTCTGTAGTGCCCAAATTACTTAGAAGCATTTAAGTCTCATTTTCAAAAGTGCTGTAAGCACTTAAGAGCCCAAGCCTTCTAACTGTAAATAGACTTTGCCTCCTAAGCCTCAGAGCACTTTTGCATACTTACTAGTACTTTAAAAGGGAGTTTGTTCTCTCCAATGGCAGCTCTTCTGTTCAGTAGATTTAACAATCAAATTTTAAAATATTCCCACAGTTTCTAAAAGGGCTCCAAATCTGATGAGCCAAAGACAGTACCACAAATTCAGAACTAAAAAAGATGAAGGATTTAAACATAGAAAGTTTCTTTTATACATATGCATGTAGTCACCAGTTAGACTTAAACAATAAATTTACAGAAGAAACCAGTCTCTTACATAAACACTAGATAACCAACTTTGTGAACGCATATTAAAATGATATATCTGCATACTCATCAATCAGGAAATGCCACCACTAAAATGAGGCATAAAACTGTCCTTTTAGATTGTACACCTTATAAAATCTTTCTGTGTTCTATTCCTCATACTATATAATTGAACATTCTTTTTTCTACACCTAAAGATGGATATGTAAACTATGTACCCATTTTTAACTCCTTCTGCTCTATGTCCATTCACAGTGCAGGAAACATTAATAAAAGACTTTTCCCTTACAGCTCTCACTGTAACATTTTTATTGGCAGCCTCCGTTCTATCCATTCTCATTTTAACCAGCAGAGCAGTAATTTTTATCCGCAACTCCAGGGATGACCAGGTGAACACAGATTTGATCATGTTTTCATTGAAGTGCGTGCCAAAAGCCTCACAAGTATTTCAGTGGGAACCGAACTGTGCCCTACAAAGCAATTTCAGCTAGACGCATAAGCTCTGATTCAGCAGGCCACAGATCCCAAATTACTCTGCTGAGTCAAGGCCACAGTGCACAGTGTGCTATGCAGACTTTCTTTACGGCAGATCAGGGCCTGAGGCGGTAGACTAGAGAGCTAGTTGACTTCCCTTGGAGCATGAATGGGCTCTAAATGCCAGCAAATATTCCCTGACGTGATGGTCCTCTAAACACTTGCACATATGCTTAACTTTATTTTTCTGAGGGCCTCCACTGACTGCTCGTGGTAGAACATGAAGTGTGTGCGTAAGAGTTTGCAGCATTCAGGTCCATTGCTCTGTAAGGCTGTATATCACCTCTAGTGTCTGCTACCTGTTTTGTTTTCTGTCACACACAGTTTAGAGTCTGACAGAGTAACGTTCAAAGTGACAGGATATCCTGCATGCACTGCTAATATAGAAGGAAAACCAGCAGGCTTTGTAGAATCACAGAATAACCTAGGCGGGAAGGCTGGACGTCTCTATTCCAACTCCCTGCTCAAAGCAGGGCAATTTTCAAAGACAGATAGGGTCGATCTGGGCCTTCTCCAGTCAACTCTTGAATACCTCCAGACATGAAGATTCCCCAGGCTCTCTGGAAAGCCTTGTCAGGGCCCTTAGTGCACTAATAGACCTTAACAGCCCAACCAGCCTCATCTGGGGCCCCCACAAATACCCCCTGCACAGTTCCCCCTTTTCAGCCCGGCCTGGGGCCATCAGTTCCTGACCGGCAACACTGTAAGAGTGCTGGTCTCCAGCTCTGCCACAGCCTTTCCATGGCCGTGGACCCACTTGATCTGGACTCTGACCTGCAGACTGACTCCCCAGCTTGTCCTTGGACCTACCCATTGATCGCTGGGTTGTGTCTGACCCTAGGTATTCTCACTGGACCTGATTCTTACCCTTGCCAATGAGGCAGAGGGCGTTGGACAAACCCAAAATGCTCAGAAGTCCCCTTTAACCTCATTAGGCATTTGGGATATTCCTCAACACACAGGAGGGCCCTAAGACTGCAAGCACTAAGCGCACACATTCAGTCACAGATGTGTGAGAAGCACCACCAAGCTCAGTGATCCCACTCACAGTGCATAACTGAAGCCCCTAAAGACACTGTGCTAGAATAAGGATGTAAGCTAAGCACACGTACACGTATAACCTTGCCTTCCTCCTACATGCGTGCTCTGAGCCCAGTGAATACACCCATACAGAAAGTATTGTGCTTATGCATGGAATTTTCTGAGGGTCAAAACTCGGTCAAATCAAAATCAGATTCCACTGAAGCACTCAAAGGCATTTTTCAGCTAGATGTTTTTATGCCAAATAGAAACTTTTTAACCCCCTGCTGGTTTGGCTGTTGTGCTGTTCAGAAAGCGATAGCAAATACTCTTGCTGAAGTAGGAATAGTTTCTACACGTTCTTCTGTGAAAAAAAAAATGGCTGAACCACTTTTACTTAGTGGGAAAAAAAAATCTCCCCTCAGACCTGGGAAATTTCAGCTTCAGCTGGTAAACTTCAGTGACTTATAAGCAATGGAAAAAAGGGGTAAAGACATAGCTTGCTTAGCAGCCTGTATGTTAGCATCACAGCCCTATGGTTCCATTTACCACCCTGTATTCCTCCCAGGTTTACTCCCATCTTGAACCTGTTTCTGAGGAAGTGTTGTGGGGAGGCCTACTGTCTGTTGTCCATGGCTTAAGCCCCCATATGAGAGACAAAACACACTGCTAAAGACCAAAACTGATGCTGCAGTGAAATATAGGCTAAAACTTTAATGACCCTGATTTTTTTCTCTCTGTCCTGAGTGACACCATTGATTTGCATTTGTAGAGCACAGTTTTTGTTAATAAGTGAAGGCTCAGGAGCTATTGTAATCATAGTAACAAAAAAATCCAACAGTAAGAAAAGTAAGTAGGGCAAGGATAGACACTACAGCATGGAAGAGCTCCGGGAAAAAAACGTTATTAAGTAAATTGTGGGAATCCACTTGCTTTCCCTTGGCCAGTGAGCAATCAACCTCCCTGGCTGTGGGATGAAGGAAGGGAATGGAGCTATTGCACGTTCTGTTTCTTGGATGAACAAATTTTTCTAACCACTTGCAGTAATTAAAAGTCCCATGCAGAGTCTAAGGTGTGAATCCCAATGTCCTGGCCAAACTCCAACTAGGTTAATTTAGTTCTGTATCCCAGCATCACCTCTGCAGTTTCAACTGTAATCAGTGTTCTTTACTTGCTGTCCTAAAGTATCATATACCACCATATTTCACAGTTTTTACAGCTACTCTTGCATGATAAATGAAGCAAATTACTGCTAGTCATGCAATCAGGTATGGAAGGTTTGTAATGTCTTTGAATTCTGTTTGATTGAAAGTTGTAATATTAATGTAAATCACTTGCAATCAGATAAAAAAGGAAGACTACAAATTCAGCTGTTCTGTTCTTCCTAGATGTTCCTACATGACTTTTATGACCCATAGCAACTAGCTTAGTCATTATTACAAAGACATTTCATCTGTTCTAGAAAACATCACTCATGTTTCAGGTATCTCCTGCTACTTTTTCACTG